CAAGGACAGACAGCCGCTGGGAAACCGCTCCGCAAAGATGCGCCTGGCGAAACTTGGAGCTCAGAGCCTAAAGTTCCGCGGCGCACAGGTTCCGGACTCGCCCCCAGCCGGAGCCAAAGGCAGCTACCAGCGCTTTCGGGTGGGCAGTGGGCGCGGGGAAAGAAAAATCGGTACGGTCAACGTAAGCGCATTTGAACTGTCTCCAAACTTCGTTGTTTTTCTTTGTTTGTTTGTTTTTGTGTTTTTTTTTTTTTTTCAGGGACCACCAGGGGTGATGCGTCCTGGCTTTCAATTTCCGCTTTAGGTAGTGAGCGAGTTGTATGCCCCAGGAAAGCAGCGGCCTTAGCCACGCCCCCTGCCGGGTAACCACGCCCCCTTTCAGGTCGCCACGCCCCTCTTCTCCCCACCCTCCCACCTCCCTCGGTCCGCGGCTGGTGGGGATGCAGGAGAGACCGCACGCTTGCAGCCGCTTGCTGTCACTGAATGCGGTGGCCGCCTTAGGTGAATACCGGGGGCCACTGAAGGTCGCCGTGGGGCCGGGCGCACGGACCGAGGCTGAGGCAGGAGAATCACTTGAACCTGGGATGCGGAGGTTGTGGTGAGCCGAGATGGCGCCATTGCACTCCAGCCTGGGCAGCAAGAGCGAAACTCCGCCTCGGAATATAGATACACGTGTGTGTGTATAATACAGCAAATGAAAAGGCGTGATGAATACACTGAGGGTGCTCTTGAAGGCATCAGTCCCTGGCACGTATGTGGCTGGCAATACCAAGGGCCATGGGGACAGCACCAACAGTGTCTGCTGCACTATTCTTTTTCTTTCTTTTTTTTTTGAGATGGAGTCTTGGTGTGTCACCCACACTGGAATGCAATGGCACAATCTCGGCTCACTACTTCCTCTGCCTGCCAGGTTTGAGGAATTCTTTTACCTCAGCCTCTTGGGTAGCTGGGACTACAGGCGTGTGCCACCAAGTCCGGCTGATTTTTGTATTTATGGTAGATGATTTTTGTATTTTTAGTAGAGATGGGGTGTCACCATGTTAGCCAGTCTCAAGAGTTCCTCTCACCTCAGCCTCCCAAAGTGCTGTGAGCCACCTGCAGAGCAGCCCTGGACTTGGGAGCCCACTCGCACCAGCCTGGCGGGACTTCAGAGATGTGGGGTCCAGCCTCCCCTAATGTTGCAGGGCTAGGGGATTGGAGCTACAGATTGTCACCCACAGTTGCTTTAGACATGCCAGATGAGCTAGGGCAAGACACGCCCTTCTCTATGATATGAGCAGTCAGTCCAAATAGATAAGCTATGAACGGCTGTGGAAGGGACCCAGCTGTAGCGTGGGACTACACACTGGCTTCCAGGGTACTCAAGCAGCTGGCCTCTGTGAGGGGCCCCAGGTATGAGAAGCAGGGCTCAAAATCCAGGCCTAGCCTCCACAGGAACCCCCTCTGGAGAGCCCAGGGCAGTTGGGGAGGGGCAGCAGGCAGCAGGTGCACTAGGAGCATGTTTCATAAAGCACGAAATATTGCATCTGTGCAGAGAGGCAGCCAGCTGGAAAGTGGATGCAGTAGGCAGGGTGGCGGCTCCTCCCCACGGCCGGCACCCACCCGAGTCCGCCTCAAGCCTGCTCAATTGGGTCATCTGTGCTCTGGACCCTCTGGTCACAGCCACAGAAAGAAGGCTTTGGGGCAACCGGGTGAGCTGGCCCTTGCGGGAGGATGTAACCGACTCCTGAGCCTGGACAGCCAGGCAGCCCCTCAACAGCAGCCCCACTCTCCAGCCCCTTCATTCTCCAATCCTCCCACCTGCTCCCCTGCCCCGGCACGGGCCTCCGCTCACTCTCATCTCTTTTCCTGCTCCCAGGCTCTCTGCTGACATGTCCTTGACTCTCCTGTGAGTCTCTCCAAGCCGCCTCCTCTTTACGTGACAGTCTCCCCGAAGCCACCAGAGTACACAAGCTCAAGCCCCTGCACTTCACCTTTACTCCCAGATATGGGAGATGACATGAGGACCCAAATGCCACTTGGCAAAAGATCTGGAGTATACAGAGGGGCAGATCTGAGACTGTGGAAGCTCTGGGGGTTCCCTGCAGGAGGCTGCATTTAAGCTGCCTCTTGAATGTGGCTCTGAACTGAGAACCCATCCTGAAGTGCCAGACCAGGAGAAGGCTGCCAACTGGACCCCTCTATTTGGTGTCTCAGAGAAACCTTGCACTCCGGAGGTCTCTGAACCCAGAAAATCCCCTCGCAGCCATTTCTTCTTAGGGAAACCACCACCTCATACCCAGTTCTGCACCAAACCCACATTTCAGTAACAGGCTCCTACCCTGCACTGTGAGCGCTCTGGATGAGCCAGTGCCCAGGGGGAAAGAGGTCTGAATGCCAAGCCAACACATGTGAGGCTTAACTCCACCTCCAGCTCCCAGAACTGTGAGTAGTGAAGGGCCCTAAACCAGTCTGCTGAAAGACCAGCCTGCCACTGTATGGTACATGGATGGCAGGGGCAGAGTATGGATGGAGAGATCAGAAGGTGGGCAGGGCTGGGGAGGTAGGGACATGGGTGTAGCGGTGGAGATGGGAGGACAGAGAGGACTCAGATGAACCAAGGAAGGGGTCAGGACGAGACACTCAGTTTTGTACCAGATGTGTAGAGCGTGGCATGCCATTCATTGCTCAAGGGAAGAGAAGGAGAAAGAGCTATGGCATGGGAGGGTAGAGGTGAGCTGTGTCTTAAATGTCATTTGAAGTCCCCAGGGAGAGCCAGGCCTGCCAGTACCTTCACTGCTTCCGCCAGCCCTCAGGGCACCTGTGCTACCTGGCCCTCTGGGCACTCCCTTCGTAGCTGTCAGCTGCAGTGGGGTCAGTTGCAGGTGACAGCTATGAAGAGCCTACAGGTGACCTTACAGGCAGTCCCCTGGAAAAATAGACACAGGTCTGTTTTTCCAGGGGACCGACACGTGGCCAAAGCCAAGAAACTGATGGACAACCTTCTGAACAAAACCTGTTACCACCACCTGACCTTCCCAGCCATCAGCTCCTCACAGCTCGGCTCCATTGAGATGGAGCTCTCCCTCGCCCAGCGCATCAGCGTGGTAGGTGCAGAGGGCAGCTGTGGCCGACAGGCGAAGAGGCAGCTCATGCCCAAGCCCTAAGCAATCATTGTCCAGAGGAATGAAATGACCAGAGTTGACTTAGACTTACCGATACATGGCAGGGAGACGGCAGGACAGTCCATGAAGCTTGTAAGTGTCCAATATTTAATGAAGTCATGGTTTTATTAACAAAGAAGAAATGAGGGTGGGAGCGGGATGGCCACTGGGTGGGCAGCCAATGGGCCTGCACGGACTCCGCTCAGCTGAGTCTCCAGCACGACCATCAGCTTCTCATCCTCACAGCCCCACCTTATGCTGTCCTCCAGCTTGCAACACGTGACCTTACAGGCTCCCAACTTGTCGGGGAAAAAGACTGGGGAAACGGATGGATACAGAGGCCCAGGTGTAGGGGCAGGACCAGAGGCAGCGCAGCGCCTACTGAGACAGGTAGGTGAGGGTCTGGACGGTGGGCGTGGCTGCTGCAGGCATGAAACGGACGCGCAGACGGCAGCACTCCCAGGGACCAATGTCAGGGTCTCCATATGTGGGTGTGTGCAGAGGTGGGGTGCTGAGGGCGGAGGTGCAGGGAATTTCTCCTCTCTAATGACTCTGAGTTGGAGATGTCCGAGGGACCCATGGCCCACTGTCAATTAACACAATGTCCCCACCCACAGGGTTAGAACCCCACCCCCGGACGCAGTTCTGAGGGGAGCACTGATATGGGGAGAGTGCAGGATCTGTGTCCAGAAGGGAGAAGGAGGTCACCAAGGAGGCTGACCCTGCTCTGGCCAGGTGGCTGCCTTCTGACACACCAGCCTCTCTGTAGCACAGTGGGCCCATACACACCCAGCCTGTCAAACTACAGCCCTCAAGAAGGCTTTGGCCAAATTAATGAGCAGCTCCCTCTCCTGGGAGGAAGCACAGCTGACGTTTGGGGCGGGCAGTAGAGCTGTGTACACTCAGCTCCCTCTCGCCACGGTCAGACAGGAAGGCAGGTGGCCTTCAGCCGGGCTCCCCCAGGCCGGGGTCTGAGTGTCAGTGTCTCGCCAAGGGCTTCTGGCTTAAGGAGGGAGCCCAGCTGCTGCCAGGCAGCTGCCACCCTAGTGAGGGTGAAGGAGCAGGAGGCTCCGCTGCACCTCCAGGCTCAGGCTGCCTGGCCAGATCTGGTCTGTGGGCCCTGTAGGCTGGTGGAAGCCATCAGGAGGAGGAGGGGATGCAGCCGCCAGGCCCCACCCCTGCGAGTTGAGTTGTATTTCTGAAAGCTTGGGTATACAGTGAGCATTAGGCTGTGGGATGCTGGGCCGGGAAGGAGTGTTTGTTTTTCAGGGTTTGTTTATCTAATGAATTGATGAGGGAGGGTTATAGGTAGAACCAGTTTTAAAATGGCAAGTTTGAGAGAGCAAGCAGGGATTTAGTGCTGGGGAAGGCAAGCAGGCTTGTGAAAACAGCTCTGTTGGGGAAGCCAGAGTCCTGTCCCAATGTCCTCAGCACGTGCAGCAGCTGCCGGGGGAGTGCAGGACAGGATTAAAGCACAGAACTTTCTGGATGATAGAAATATTCCGTATCTTGAAAGGAAGTGAGTTACATGAGTAATGCATTTGTCAAAACTCATAAAAATGTACACTTCAGATCTAGGCATTTGACTGAATATGTTTTAAATTTTAAAAGATTTTATTATTTTTATTTTTTGAGACAAAGTGTCACTATGTCACCAGGCTGGAGTACAGTGACGTGATCTTGGCTGACTGCAATCTCTGTCTCCCTGGTTCAAATGATTCTCCTGCGTAAGCCTCCCAAGTAGCTGGGACTACAGGCACGCGCCACCACACCGATAATTTTTGTACTTTTTTAGAGACAGGATTTCACAATATTGGCCAGGATGGTCTCAATCTCTTGATCTGCCTGCCTCAGCCTCCCAAAGTGCTGGGATGACAGGCATGAGACACCGCACCCAGCCCGTATTTTACAACAATTCTGCTCCCGCATAGTCTTCTCCCATTCTCACATCGTCTCCTCCTCCCCCATCTTCTCCTTGAGCCACGTCATGTCCTCCTGCTCTCTCATCTGCTCCTCTTGCTTCCGCCTCCTCTCCTTCTCCCACATCTGCTCCCTTAGCTGCTTCTCTTCCTGCATCATCGCCTCCTGCTTCTCCATCTGCTCCTCCTGCTCCCTCAGCAGCTCCTTCTCATCCCAGAGCCTCTTTTTTTCCTCCCGCATCTCCTCCTCCTGCTGCTGCATCTTTTCTTCCTGCTCCCGTATTTTCTGCTCCCACTCCTGTATCTTCTCCTCCTCCTTCCAGATCTTCTCCTCCTGCTCCTGGTAGAGGCATTCCCAGCGATTATTTTCATCCAGTTGTTCTTGGAGCTCTCCTTTCAGCCTGTGAAGCTCCTGCTTCGGGTTCTCGATCTCCTCCTGTAGCTGCACCTGGAATAGTGAAAGTGTTGGTTTGAACTTCAAAAAGAAATAGACTCATGAGCTGCCACAGAAATGTCATCTACAAGATAATGGTTTTCATCCATGATGCTTTACAAAAATTTTTTTCTAAGTCCTAACCCTGAGATTCTGATTCCCCAGGCAGGGCCACAATTTGTAGATTTTTAGCACACTCTAGAGGGTTCTATGGCAGGACCAGCACCAGGACCCAGATTTTCCAGCTCTGGGCTGCAGCCTCCCCATACCCGGCATGATCCCTAGACCATGGCCCCAGATGGATGGGCTCCCGCAACCCCCAGGGTTGCAGACTCTCACCTGTGGAAGCAGAAGCTTGGCCCTAGCCAGCTTTCTTTGTAGCTCCTGCACATGGAGCTGGACGCTGGACTTTTCAGACTGTAGGAGTCTAAGTTTTTCTTCGAGTTCTGTGTTCTTCCTCTGCAGCTCATTGATTATACTATGGCCAGAGGCGGTAGAGAAAGGCCTGAATGCAGAAAAGAAAGGACCACTTTGCTCATCAACCCTCTACCCTCACCCCACAACCACCACAGAACTGTGGCATTGGAAGGGACCCCAGGAATTAAAAGTCATAGGTGGCAGGCCAGAGAGAAGACATGAGTTGCCCGAGGCTACCCCATGAGTCAGTGGCACAGCCGGCACTAGAGCTTTGCTGGGCACACATGCAAACCTCTATGACCCCCTCACCATGCTCATCTGTACCCACCTCCCAGCACTCCACCCACGCTAAGGGCCCCCAGACTTCCCATCCTACCTTCCCCGGTCCTACGTGTTCCTGCACAGTTTCAGACTCGGGCCGTCCCTCTCCTTTGTTAATTCCCCGTTGCACTGCAAATACAGAAAGGTTAAGTCAGGATGCAGCAGACAGAGCAGCCGCCGGCCGACATGAACAACAGCTGCAGTGACTACTCCACAGCAACACCTCCTCGCTCTCAGTCACGCCTGGCACGTTCCCAAGGCATGCCCATGGTCTCCTTTGTTTTTCTTTTCTTTTTGTGCCCTAGATCATATCCCTAGCAGATCTAGCAATAGGCTTTAAACCCAGGATTCTAAACCAGTACCCGGCAGTTACCCTCTACTTAACAGTTACCCTTTTTAACAGTTACCCTCTACTGTCCCTTGGACCCTCTGTCCCCTGGAGCCTGGCCAGGCAAGACTCACATCATCAGGTGAGTGGCAGCCAGCAGAAGCAGTTCTCTCAGGGTCACCACCATTATTTATTTGCCTGTTGGTGTCAGTTACTCCTGTACCAATACCAGGGCTGTTGTGCTGATGACGATATTCTCTCAGCTGTGAAAAAAAGAGCAGTGATACTCATGAGAACTACAAGCCCCCACAGTCACATCCTACTTCACAGTTTCATTTTGTTTTTGTTTTTGTTTTTTTTTTCTTGAAACAGTCTCACTCTTTCACCAGGCTGGAGTGCAGTGGTGTGATCTCGGCTCACTGCAACCTCCACCCCCGGATTCAAGTGATTCTCCTGCCTCAGCCTCCTTAGCTGGGACTACAGGTGCGTGCCACTGCACCTAGCTAATTTTTGGTTTTCGCAGACACCGAGTTTCATCATGTTGGCCAGGATGGTCTCGATCTCTTGACCTCATGATCTGCCCGCCTTGGCCTCCCAAAGTGCTGGGATTACAGGCGTGAGCCACTGCATCCGGCCCCTGCTTCACAGGTTTTACAAAATAATCTTACAGAGCATCTGATTTAATGCCACCAACAACTGTACGAGGTGTTGTCTCAATCAGTGACTGAGAGGGACTGATACTGTGGCTAAAACCAAGGCAGTAACGGAACTTAAACTCAGTCTTCTGACTCCGACCTCTGGGATTTTGCCACAAATCAGCAGCTGCCACAAACCAAAACCACAGGCAGAGGTAGAAAAGCAAATGTGACGGAGGCAGGAACGGTACACTGTGTGGTTCAGAGTCATACATCCTCACACGTCTGCTAGTGTTAAGAAGGCACCGGTACCTCTTCAACTTTTACATCACTGTATCCTCATGGGAGAAGGCAGCCTTTCTGCTAAACCTGAGAATGTAACAGAAGAAGTCAACCCAAGCCTCATTTCAGAGCGAAGTCTGGTATACTCTTAGAAATCGAGGTGACTCTCATCCCTAAGTCCGTTAATGTTTTGTGTCTCTCAAGAGAATGAAGGGATACTGATGCTTCAGAAAGACGCCCCATATTTACCCTGCGGCACTCAAAGTACCCCAGCTTGAGATCAGATGAGGAAGATTCAAGCTGTCAACTTCATTTTCCCAAGATCTGTTCACTGAAGAGAAGCAGATCTCACTCCAGAAACCACTGACTGAAGGGCACTCAGGCCCCAGCACCATGGAGAATTCAAACATGAGGTGGAGAACTCAGAAAAAATGTTAAAGTCTCTGGAGAGTAGAAGCCTAGGAGAAAACCAAACCAAACCAGTTCTCCCATTGCCACTCAGGGACACTGTCAACATTTTGAGCTCATGGGGGAGGTGTAGGCTTTTCACACTGTCAATGTCTGTGTTAAAAAGAGTAAGGCAGTCTGAAACCTTCACTCCTAGGTCCAACGATCCCCATTTCTCTTTGAGCTGAAAATCTCTCCTGCTACCAGAGGAACCAGAAATAGGGCCAGAACACTGGGTCTTAACATCAAAGGCTGGTCTAGTGGCAGTAATGACAGTTCCTAGGGGGACTGTGGCATCACTACATCCCACTCCTCTATGGGGTGGTGGGAACACATCAGTGATGCCCGAGTTGCCACTCTGAGATGGAGGTGGTGCAGAGCCAGGACCCAGGTCCTTGGAAACACGAGCCCAAAGAGCCCAGGCATGGGGCAGCAGGAGGTGAGGGCCAAGTACAGAGTGGGGAGCCCCAGGAGTCACCTGCCCAAAGTCACCCTAGGGAAACTGGTGAGGGCAGGCATTGGGGCACCCAGGTCCTTGGAGATGCCAGCCCGAAGAGCCCAGGGAGGTTGACCCTGGAGCAGCAGGAGGTTAGGGCAGAGTATGGAGTGAGGAGTCCCAGGAGTCACCCAGCTCAAAATCACCCTGGGGTGACTGGCGAGAGCAGGGGCAGGACTGCTAATGGGGTGGGGCTGGCTGACAAGATTTTGGTGCAGGGAGCCCAGAGGCACCAGGGGGCCAGCCCGGTGTGGCTCAGGAGTGGCAGACTCTGGCAGCAGTCCTGCTGTTATGGGGGGCCTGGGGCTGGGTTGGGGTTCCACCATCTGGTGTTTTACCTTTTCCTTGGTCTATTTGCGTTCTCTAGTTGCTCTGGACATCTCGGGGTGGGGAGGGAAGTGGGGTTAGGGAGGGACATAAGGGTAGGGTCGGGGAGGGACGTGGGGTCAAACAGGGACGTGGGGTTGGGGAGCGGCACGGGGTCGCGGAGGGACGCGGGCTATGGGACGGACGCTGCGTCGGGGAGGGACATAGAGCTGGGGAAGGACGTGGGGTCGGCGAGGGACGCGGGCTTGGGGAGGGACGTGGGGTCGGGGAAGGACGCGGGCTTGGGGAAGGACGCGGGCTTGGGGAGGGACATGGGGTCGGGGAGGGACGCGGGGTCGGCGAGGGACGTGGGCTTGGGGAGGGACGCGGGGTCGGGGAGGGACACGGGCTTGGGGAGGGACGCGGGGTCGGGGAGGGACGCGGGCTTGGGGAGGGACGCGGGGTTGGCGAGGGACATGGGGTCGGGGAGGGACGCGGGCTTGGGGAGGGACGTGGGGTCGGGTAGGGACGTGGGCTTGGGGACGGACGCGGGCTTGGGGAGGGACGCGGGGTTGAGGAGGGACGTGGGCTTGGGGAGGGACGTGGGGTTGAGGAGGGACGTGGGCTTGGAGAGGGAAGCGGGGTCGGGGAGGGACGGAGGGTTGAGGAGAGATGTGGGCTTGGGGAGGGACGCGGGCTTGGGGAGGGATGTAGGGTTGGGGAGGGACGTGGGCTTGAGGAGGGATGTGGGCTTGGGGAGGGACGCGGGCTTGGGGAGGGATGTAGGGTTGGGGAGGGACGTGGGCTTGGGGCCACATCGTGGTGATACAGAAGAGGACAGTGAGATGCGTCCTCTCACCTACCACGCAGCTGTGTGACTGAGCCAGAGGTGGCGTAACCGGGGCCTCACTAGAACCCAGAATAGGGGTGTGGCCTGAATGCTTCAAGCTCATTGGTCAATGAGAAAGATAAACGGGAATGGAGGCGTGGCCAGGCAGTGGTGTGTCCTGAGGGACCTGTGGTGTCACAATGAAAGCAGCCCATGCACCAGCTGCCCCCGGCCACTCAAGGAGAGGGGCAGGGCTGCGCTTCACTTGAGAAACTCTAAAAGTTTATTACCTCAAATCTATAGCATGCTTGACGATGACCAGACTGTATTATCCAACATTCCAATGAGAGGAAATAATCACAATGATTTTTTTTTTTTTTTTTTTGGAAAGTTTCTTTTAGTCTCCTACATTTTTAATTTTTTTTTTTTTCCCCCCAAAAAAGATACACGTCTGCGGGGCCCAGTGGCTCACGTCTGTAATCCCAGCACTTTGGGAGGCCGAGGTGGGAGAATCATGAGGTCAAGAAATTGAGGCCATCCTGGCCAACATGGTGAAACCCCGTCTCTACTAAACTACAAAAATTAGCTGGATATGGTGGCACACACCTGTAGTCCCAGCTACTCCGGAGGCTGAGGCAGGAGAAATGCCCGAACCCAGGAGGCCGAGGTTACAGTGAGCTGAGATTGTGCTACTGAACTCCAGCCTGGGGCCTGGTGACAGAGTGAAAGAGGGTGTAAATGATCTGTCTCAAAAAAAAAAAAAAAGAAAAGAAAAGAAAAAAAGAAACACGTCTAACATCTTTAAAAACACAAAGCTTTTGAGCCGGGCATGGTGGCTCATGCCTGTAATCCCACCACTTTGGGAGGCTGAGGTGTGTGGATCACCTGAGATCAGGAGTTCAAGACCAGCCTGGCCAACATGATGAAACCCTATCTTTACTAAAAATACAAAAACTAGCTGGGCATGGTGGCAGAAGCCTGTAATCCCAGCAGCTTGGGAGACTGAGGCAGGAGAATTGCTGGAACCCAAGAAGTGGGTGTTGCAGTGAGCCAAAATCGTGCCACTGCACTTCAGCCTGAGCAACAGAACGAGACTCTGTCTCAAAATAAATAAATACGCCGGGCGCGGTGGCTCAAGCCTGTAATCCCAGCACTTTGGGAGGCCAAGGCTGGTGAATCACGAGGTCAAGAGATCGAGACCATCCTGGTCAATATGGTGAAACCCCGTCTCTACTAAAAATACAAAAAATTAGCTTGGCATGGTGGCGCGTGCCTGTAGTCCCAGCTACTCAGGAGGCTGAGGCAGGAGAATTGCCTGAACCCAGGAGGCGGAGGTTGCGGTGAGCCGAGATCACGCCATTGCACTCCAGCCTGGGTAACAAGAGCGAAACTCTGTCTCAAAAATAAATAAATAAATAAATAAATAAATAAATAAATAAATACACAAAGCTTTCCACTGAATAAGTATTCAAAGCTCTTAACCAGTTTAAAACAAATACAAGACCCTCCTAAAGTGAGGCTGATTGCTAAGTGATGGGAGAGAGAAAAGGGACATAAATAACTCCTACTCTCATGCGGTTAATCACTAAATCCTATTTTTCCAGAATCACCTGGCCTAAGTCCTGTGAATAAACTGAATTTCTCACTTGATACTGGGCTATGGCTTGCAATCATGAAAACCAAGAACTGTGTTATGTCACTGTATATTGCTTGTTACCTGAATTCCACATTAGGCTGGGATCAAGGGTTGACTTTTTCATGATTTGCTCCATTACCTGTGTGCTTTTATCCCAGACCAAACTAAGCTTTTTTTCTGGAGTTCTACAATTTACAGCTAGTATATAAGAGTGGTTCTCAAAAATGTAGACCAGCACCAGTAGCACTGGGGAACTTCTTAAAAATGCACATTCTCAGGCCCCACCCTAGACCTGATGAATTGCAAACTCTAAAGTAGGGCCCAGAAATCTGTGCTGCAATAGGCCCTCCAGGTGTTCAGGAGCTGCTGGCATACAGCAGGTAGAAAACGGTGTTTCCTTCTGTAGATCCAAAGCCAGGGATACTGTATGTTCTGTCTCGGTATGAAACCATGACATAAAATGAAAAGACAGAAATCTCCTTCCTACTCCCACACTCTAGCCAGTGTGTTTTATTCGTATGAATAAAATAAGAAAACGAGTAGCAATCAGCCTCATCTCACTGATTATCATTTACACCCTCTTACAGCTAAGGTTTTAGGAAAGGATCCTGACAATGGAAGACTCGGGCACACTAGGAGTTCTACCACAGAAGACCAAGGACATCTGAATGTCCAATCTTACTCGAGAAGAAAAGTGGAATCATTGCCTGTATTTCACACTGCATTGCCTATATATATCACACTGCATTCATCAGGAAATTGAAGTTTTGAATTTTTATCACCATCATTCTTCCCAGTTAATAGCATTAAACCAGAATACTCCATTCTTCCAAAGCCTCTAGCCAGGCAAAGTTTTACTGCATTGCTTCCTGCTTTTCAATGGTTATAAAGCAGAGTCCCGGTAGGCACACTTTATGTACCTGCAAAGACCCAGAACTAAACAGTTCCATCTGTTCAAACAAAAGTCCCATAAACCTCAGATGGTGAGTGGAATACGTCAGCACTAGCACCAAGGCCTCAAATAGAAAAAGACACCAAGAACACCACCAGCGAACAGAAGTAAGCTCTCGGCTGGGAGTTATTATTCAATAGAAATACACCCCAAAAGACTGCACAAAAATAACTTTGGTTTTCAACTGCAGTCACAGCAATTCACAACTGGTACAGATTTGCAACTTGTTCAGAATTCATTTGTCCTTCCAAACCACTCAAGACTCACCTGTGTAACAAGGGCATTTGGAATACACGCCTTACTGGTTCACCAAGCTTTATGTGCTTTACTAATGGGCCATTAGGTAATTCCCAAGTGTCATTATTCCATACAATGCTGCAAAGGACATCTTTCTACAACTGTCCTTAGATCTATGTGCTTTTTTCCTAGAGTGAACCCTATGGATGGAATTGCTGGTAGTATTTGCACAATTCACATTTTTCTTTTTACTAGATACTACCAAATGGCCATTTTTACACTTCTCCTAGCCATCTGTAAGAGTACTTGTTTACTCAAAATCTTACCAGTGCTCCAGACTATCCAACTTAGTTGTTTTCCAAGGTAATGGAGGGAAAGTGTATTTTATTTTTTGTTTTAACTTGAATTTCTATGATCACTTGGAAGGCTATTGAACACTCCAGTTTTTTCTTAACACTATTTGCCTGTCATGTCCCAGTTGCTAAGGCAGCCAGGAGGATGAGTACCTGGCAGAAACCATTATTACTGTGTAAGGCATGGGCTTCAGTGTTCACATGGTGGGGACTGCTGCACGTGATGTATCCAACCTCTTCCAATAACCAAATGCTTGATTCTAGACCCAGATTCCATTACTAATCAGCTTACATGGATACAATATGAAGGAAATGCTGATATTAAAGAATTGCTAGTATGGACACGACGCAAGCAATTTGTTTTAAACCTAACATCATTGCTAGTATTCGAATTGGATTAAAACAAGATACCGATACTAGCTATTTAAAAACTGCTTTTACAGTAACTCTCAAACCTGTACCTCATATTAAAGCCGGAATACTGGAGACAGGTGTTTGAATATTACAACATGATTAGTTTGTATATACTTAGAAACTGCCGAGATACATTGGAATAAAAACTACAAATGCGAGGCAAATGACATTAAATAAATGGAGCCTGGCTATAATCAACTAACTTGTAATAGACACTTAAGGTTTCAACACTGGTTTTTCTTTTCTTTTCTTTTCTTTTTTCTGAGACAGTGTTTCCCTCTTGTTGCCCAGGCTGGAGTGCAATGGCATGGCCTTGGCTCACCGCAACCTCCACCTCCCGGGTTCAAGCAATTCTCCGGCCTCAGCCTCCCAAGTAGCTGGGATTACAGGCATGCGCCATGTGCCACCATGCCTGGCAATTTTTTAATTTTTAGTAGAGCTGGGGTTTCTTCATGTTGGTCAGGCTGGTCTCGAACTCCTGACCACAGGTGATCCACCCGCCTTGGCCCCCCAGAGTGCTGGGATTACAGATATGAGCCTCTGGGCCTGGCCTGTTTTTGTGAGACAGGGTTTCACTCTGTCACCCAGGCTAGAGTACACTGATGATGCAACCTTGGGTCACTGCAACTTAACGCTGCTTTCTTACCTTGATCTCCTCTGGGGCCAGGTGAGCTATATCACTAACACTCGCTGGGGCTACTTCCTTCACGGTTATGGCTGACTGATTTCACACAACTTTAACCTCTGGGACAGGCTAGAGAAGAGAGAATACATTCGATAGGAAGTCAGAAGGGGATCTAACACAAAATGTGTGAATTCTGAACCTATTACCTTCAAGCATAATCTACAAAATACTTTGTGGAGATTATCTTTTTTTCACTTGCTTGAAATTCAGCAAATTTAATGGAGATTATTTAAAATATCAGTTATGGTGACAGCCAAAGTCCTAAGCTGATGGGCATCGTGGCAGCACTGAAGGGTGGCACAAGCTGCTTCAGGATGCCATAAGACCTGGGTATTTTAGGGTTTTCTGTCTCAAAAACATTCCAACAGCATGTCCAAGCCTTCATTTTTCTCACCTGCGAAATGGAAACTATAGTACCTGCCTCCGTGTTGTGTGCATTAAGGGTTCATGTATGTAAAGGACCTAACATGACATGTAGCAGATACTCAATAAATGCGGGTATAGATATCCATATGTCTCCAAACCTACCATACAATGAAAATGGAACTGAAGACTCAGAGAATGGGGAAAAGCAGAGTCCCCGCGGCTATGGCTGAGGGTCTGGCAGGGGCCCACTGAAGATCTGGGTAGAGCCGAAACTGTCATGGGACCAGAAGTTAGCCTTCCCTGTGGAGACCATACCTGGAACTTACAGGGAAATACCACAGGCTTGTACCCTGAAACAAAATAGAGCTCGTTTCACAAAGGCTCAAAGCTATGAGGGTCACCCTGCTGCAGCTACCCACTGAACGGTGAACACACATACCGGTTTAGGGGTGAAGTGGAAGTCTGAGAGGGCATCTAATTTTAGGAAGAAAGAATCCATCATCTTCTGAACTCCTATGTGCCTGGATTTTCTTCTGCTGCTGTTTCTTGCTTAGGAAATAAGTTCAACAGCCTCAAACTAAGCGGTTTGATATATACCACAGGATAAAACTCTAAAGGCCAATGAGGGTGTTACCAATTTCTCACCAGCACTAATTGAAATTTCACTGACATTTCAATTAAATTTAATTCTTACTGACCTGATCTCTTATCCTCTGTTTAATGATATCTTCCAGTTGAAGGGTGTTTCCTCTGTAATCACAGGTGCTAAAGGAAATACCACATGTGGTCATGAGGTAGAGAGCCACGAAACCACTGAGTCTCACACTGTAGTCCTTAGACCCTCAGCATCAGCAACACGTGGGAACTTATTAGAAATCAAACTCCTGGGCCAGCCCCACATCTCCTGAATCAGAAAGTGGGGACGAGAGACAGCTATCTGTGCTTTAAGAAGCCTTGAGATGCTCCCTGAAGTCTGAAAACCACAGAACTAGAAGACATTTGGTAGTAAGTGCTAATACTTTATCCAAGGTACCTAGGGACTCTTCCCCTCTTTTTCACTGTCTCTTCTGTTGAAATGAAGTGAGAACTCGTTTTGATTTAATGGGTACAAGAAAGAAGGCAATGAGATGATCAGGGTTTCAGCCTCGAGTTCAAAATTTAATCAGTGGTTGGTGAAAGGATGCAAACTTTCTAAACAGATTACTACAAGAGAGCTGATTACAAACTAAACATTAGGTATCAGTAGTGTATTGATGTTAAATTTTGGGAGTGGATTAATGGTATTGTGATTATACAGGACAACGTCCTAGTTCTTAGAAGACATCTGCAAAAGTACTTCAAAGTGAAATGCTAAGACACTGGCAACTTCACTTGGAAATAATTCAGGGGAAAGGGGCACATATAGAGTTCTACCTACACGGAGGAGAGGAAACAAGTATGACAAAATGTTAATTGGCGAATCCAGCTGAATAGCCTACAGATGTTCACTGTATCATTTTTTCAACTTTTCGTTGTTAGCAAGTCTTTAAAATAAAAAGTTGAGGGAAAAGAAACATCACCCCAAATCTTCCTATGAAATGGAACCATAGAGAAAGCACACAAGCAAACACTTTGCAGAGGCCGACATCGTACCCATCCAGACGGCATGGTCAAAGGGCAGGGTCCCCTCCAGGAGGCTGTTCTCTGGCCTCTTCTCTGCTATCACTTCCCCCGAAGCTGCTGAGCTTTCTTCTAACAACTCTTTTTCTTTTTCTTTTTTTTTTTTTCTTTTGAGACGGAGTTTTGCCCTTGTTACCCAGGCTGGAGTGCAATGGCGCGATCTTGGCTCACCGCAATCTCCGCCTCCTGGGTTCAAGCAATTCTCCTGCCTCAGCCTCCTGAGTGGCTGGGATTACAGGCACGTGCCACCATGCCCAGCTAATTTTTTTTTTTGCACTTTTAGTAGAGACAGGGTTTCACCATGTTGACCAGGATGGTCTCGATCTCTCGACCTCGTGATCCACCCACCTCGGCCTCCCAAAGTGCTGGGATTACAGGCTTCAGCCACCGCACCCGGCGCTCTTCTAACAACGCTTTTCATAAAGATGCAATTTTTTCATTTATCCAAGAAACAGAGAAAACAATCAGATACATTTAGAAAAGAAAATCACTTACACTTGTGTAAAAGCAAAAAAAAAATTTAAAAAGTAGAGAAGCAAGATACGTAGGGTTGTACAATTCTGTTCTGTTCTTACCATCCTTTTCTGCTGCCAATGACTTCCTATTCCTGCTGCCTATGGTGGGGTGAACTGCAAATGATTTCTTTTCCTTACTGATTTAAAATGTCATGTTTATAATATACTAAACTCGCCTGGAAGCATTTGGGTCTATTTCTGGGCTCTATTCTATTCAAGTGATCTGTTTATTCCAAAGCCACCCTCAGTTTTGATTATTAGCACATCTTAAAGTAATTGTTTGATTAGGATATTAGCATTTGATGGAGCCTGACATTTTTGACTCTAAACTCAAATTCTTATTATCTCTAACTTCTTTTTTTTTTTGAGATGGAGTTTCGCTATTGTTACCCAGGCTAGAGTGCAACGGCGCGATCTCGGCTCACCACAACCTCCACCTCCTGGGTTCAGGCAATTCTCCTGCCTCAGCCTCCTGAGTAGCTGGGATTACAGGCACACGCCACCATGCCCAGCTAATTTTTTGTATTTTTAGTAGAGACGGGGTTTCACCGTGTTGACCAGGATGGTCTCGATCTCCTGACCTTGTGATCCACCCACCTCGGCCTCCCAAAGAGCTGGGATTACAGGCTTGAGCCACCGTGCCCGGCATTATCTCTAACTTCTAAAAGACAACAATTATGACTTCACTATGTAAAATGTCAGCTTTTTCGCTACCTTACGGAATTCTCTTACTTTCTCAATATTAATTTGACTTACCCATTTGGTTTCCTCTCCAAATACTAATGGTTTCATTTTAGTATTCTTTTTTTTTTTTTTTTAGACAGAGTTTTGCTCTTATTACCCAGGCTAGAGTGCAATGGTATGATCTCGGCTCACCGCAACCTCCGCCTCCTGGGTTCAGGCAATTCTCCTGCCTCAGCCTCCTGAGTAGCTGGGATTACAGGCACGCGCCACTACTCCCAGCTAATTTTTTGTATTTTTAGTAGAGATGGGGTTTCACCATGTTGACCAGGATGGTCTCGATCTCTTGACCTCGTGATCCACTCACCTCAGCCTCCCAAAGTGCTGGGATTACAGGCGTGAGCCACTGCGCCTGGCCCTTCATTTTAGTATTCTTAAGCTCTTTTTTTAAGACAGAGTCTCACTCTGTTGCCCAGGCTGGAGTGCAGTTGCATGATCTCAGCTCATTGCAACCTCCGCCTCCCAGGCTCAAGCAATTCTCTCACCTCAGACTCCCAAGTAACTGGGACCACAGGCGCACATAACCACACCCAGCTAATCTTTGTATTTTTTTTTTGCAGAGATGAGGTCTCACCATGTTTCCCAGGCTGGTTTCGAACTCCTGAGTTCAAGTGCCGGGAGCTCCCAAACTCTCATAGTGTGGGGACTACAGGTGTGAACTACCACTTCCAGCAGTTTTCCTAATCTCTTAATCTTTTGTAGCTACACTGACTGATGTAGTTAATGTTAATTAACAGGGGTAACTGTAATACTGAACATTTTGTCTCATTGTAGTGGAATATAAATACATCTAGCCAGGCTGGGCGAGGTGGCTCATGCCTGTAATCCCAGCACTTTGGGAGGCCGAGGTAGGCGGATCACAAGGTCAAGAGATCAAGATCATTCTGAGCAACATGGTGAAATCCCGTCTCTACTAAAAAATATATAAAAAATTAGCCAGGCGTGGTGGTGTGCACTTGTAGTCCCAGCTACTTGGGAGGCTGAGGCAGAAGAATCACTTGAACTGCAAAGTGGAGGTTGCATTGAGGCAAGATTGCGCCACTGCACTCCAGCCTAGTGTCAGAATGAGACTCCGTCTTCAGAAAAAATATATACATCTAGCCAAAAGCTGCCATCATGCATGATGGGTGAAATTCTGAAAACATCCCTTTAAGATTAGGAATAAGATAAAATGTTCAGTATTACAGTTCCATTTCATAGGAAGATTTGGGGTGATGTTTCTTTTCCCACAACCTTTTATTTTAAAGACTTGCAAACAAGGAAAAGTTGAAAAAATGATACAGTGGGCCGGGTGCGGTGGCTCAAGCCTGTAATCCCAGCACTTTGGGAGGCCGAGGCGGGTGGATCATGAGGTTGAGAGATCGAGACCATCCTGGTCAACATGGTGAAACCCCATCTCTACTAAAAATACAAAAAATTAGCTGGGCATAATGGCTCGTGCCTGTAATCCCAGCTACTCAGGAGGCTGAGGCAGGAGAATTGCCTGAACCCAGGAGGCGGAGGTTGCGGTGAGCCGAGATCGCGCCATTGCACTCCTTCCTGGGTAACAAGAACGAAACTCCATCTCAAAAAAAAAAAAAAAAAAAAAAGATACAGTGAACATCTGTATGCTATTCAACTGATTCACCAATTAACATGTTCTAACAGTTTCAAAAGAAATAAGGCCGGGCGCGGTGGTTCAAGCCTGTAATCCCAGCACTTTGGGAGGCCAAGGCGGGTGGATCACAAGGTCAAGAGATCGAGACCAACCTGGTCAACATG